AATGTGGGAGTGTGACTGGTGGGAAAGTTTAAAAACCAATGACAAAATCAAAAATTACGTTAGAACCCACTTTTTTTTATAGAGGACTTCTTTCTACAGACTCCCTTCTAGCAAAAATAAAAGATGGATCTCTTTTTGGCTACGTTCAGCGCGACTTAGTTGTTCCAGATGAACTGAAATCAAAATTTGCGAATTTTCCTCCCATTTTCAAAAACACTGAGGTTGGAAGAAACGATATTGGAGACTACAAGAAGAAATATGCAATCGAGAACGAAATGTTAAAACATCCTCAGAGAATGCTGATATCTAGTTTCAAGCTAGAAAATGGAACAGTTATAACTCCTCTGTTCAACTTTTATTTGGAACTCGGCTTGCAATGCACCAAAATTTACCCTTTTGTTCAGTATACTCCACGGAAATGTTTCAGTAATTTCGTTCAATCAGTGGTTGATGCTAGAAGAGAAGGCGATGAAAACCCTCTACCAGCAGTTGTAGCAGAAACAATGAAACTTTTGGGTAATTTCTCGGATGGATATCAGATCATGGATAGATCGAGACATACAATCACAAAATATCTGAACGATGAAAAAACTCACAAGGCAATCAATGAATCATTGTTCAAAAGATTGAATATAGTTGAAAAAGACTTGTATGAGGTGGAATTGTTGAAATCAACCATCGAACATAGAGAACCCATCATCCTTGGAATTTTCATACTGCAGTATGCGAAACTGAGAATGTTGGAACTCTACTATAACTTCTTCGACGAATTCTGTGATCTAATTAAATTTGAAGAGTTAGAGATGGACACAGACTCGCTTTACTTAGCTCTTGCTGAAGAAAATTTATACGACTGTATCAAACCAGATAAGAGAACTGCTTGGGAAAAAATGAGGGAAAATGACAGTAGAGACTCTTTCAAGGCGGATGCAAAATCTAATTTCTTCCCTCGAACGTGTTGCAGTACGCATTAAAAGTATGATAAACTGGAGCCGGGACTTTTTAATGAAGAATTTAGATGTACAGAAATGCTATGTTTGTGTAGCAAGACATATTGCTGCTATAAGAACAAGTCAGATAAGTTCAAACTTAGCAGTAAGGGATTAAACCAGCGAGTTCTCGAAGATTCTGGAGATGGTCCCATGTCAAAATACAGGAGTGCATGATGAAGCAATTAACCTTACATCTACTAACAGAGGATTCAGAACTATAAATCATATGGTAGCCACATTTGAACAGACAAAGAAAGGACTATGCTATTTTTATCCAAAAAGACAAGTGCAAGATGATGGAATTCATACAAAACCATTGAACTTATAAGAACTGATCTGGTGTAGTAAATTTATTCATGATGTCGTATTGTATTGGTTTTTTGATATTAAAATGTAAAATTTTGCGGTAAATTTAATATACAATGCAGTAATTTATATACTTTTTTTTGTAATTTAATTTTTTTCTCACAAAATTTAGTTTTTTTCGAAGACTCAGTAGGTTTTAGAATAGATTCAGATAAATAGAAAGTAGAAGTATCTAATAAATTTTTATTAGCTAAAATTATATCAAATCTTATCGTGTTTAAAAAATTTTTTGAAAAAGTTTCAACTTTTTTTGATAAAAATTCCAAGTTTTTGCACAAAAGCTCTTACCATTGACTTACCATGCACCAAAAAACTAAATACAAAACCTTCATTCTCCAATCTACACGTAATTAACAATTAATTGTTCCCAATTAGATAACGCGCGCCAAAAATTTTGCGAAAAAAAACATTTCCACACAAAAACATTTTCTTACCCTTATCTTACCATCGCACAAACCATAAAACCTTACCATCGGTATTACCTATCTTAATACATTGTAGACTCTATACCAATCTTAATACATAGCATGGCGGACCGGAAATCTATAACGTATTTTAATACATGGGGATCGCCATGCACCCCCCCCCCCCCCCACTTCAGCTCCAACATCTACTACTAACAGAGCTATTTTTTACTCGAGTCGGTCAAAACACAACTCGAACGCTTCAACCCGGTTTCGAGCATACTGGAATCTTTTTAAAGGAACAGTGTGCCAATTTTAGGTAATATTCGCTAGAAAACTTGAGGTTTTCGTTGACTTAAAAAAACGGTTATTTGTCCTTTTAAGTTGATTTGACAGGTTTTCTTCAAAAAGCTTGTTAAAAAATTTATAGTTTTGTAATTTTTAACAAAATTATCCGACAAAACTTGAAGTTTTGAAAAATTTCGAACAATTTGAATTGCATTTGAACTGTCAAAAGAGCAATGCAAATTGATTGCGCTTTTTCAGAGACAACTAAGTTTGAATAATTTCAAAACCACTTTTTGAATTAATTACAATTTAACAATAATGTGATGTGCTATGTTTCAGGCAAAAAAAAAACGAAAAAAAAAAACAACTCAACACGAAGGCCAACACGGATCTTCAAAATATAATTTCAATTTATTTGTTGGAAAGTCAAAATTACTTCAAAATGCAGAACGTTTTCCAATAATTTTGTTATTGTTAAAGAGTGCTGACTTAATTTAATCGGACAAAATGAACTAAGTTGAAAACGTAAACGCGTTTTCCTCAAGTTGGGTTGTTTTGAGGCAAAAAACGATGGAGACAAAACTCGCTCAAAATTTCGGCAAAATTAATATAGTGCAATATTTCATAAATTTTGGCTTTTTAGTCCATCACAAATTACGCAACAGGTATCTTGTCAATTACTAACAAAGACTCTATCAAAGTGAGCCTCTTACCTCACCCAACAAAACTAAAGAACAGTACCATTAGCTCCAAAAATTACGCAAAACATTTTCAAAAATTGTTGTTGAATGAAAAATTGTAGTTTTATTTTGTAAAAAAAGACATTTTTGGTTATCAAACAAATATAAAATTACAAACTTTTGAAAACTATATTTTTATTGAATTTTGTTGAGCTATGTAAGAGGCTCACTTTGACATAATTTTGTTGTTTTGACAGTAATTAACTTGGTACTTGCTGGAAATTTTTTGGTTGACTGAAAAATCCAAAAACTTTATAGCTTAAAGTAAGCTTTTGGAGCCCAGGTTTGCAAAATAAATTGCAGTATATTATTTCTGCTCTACTTCTGAGCAAGTTTTGTGTCCAGTATGTTCTGTCTAAAATCAATTTGTTTGAGAAAAACTTTTAAATTAAAATTTCGACTTTAGTTCCTTTTGTCCGGCAAGTTTAATGGAGAAGGTCTCCATTACTGCTCAAGGTCACCGATATTTTCAACAGTTTAATACGTTGCACAAAGTTTAAACAGACAAAAATAATTAAAAAGAGCCAGTTGCCAATTTGACAAATTTGCAAGCACATTTTAAATTATAATTGAATTTGAGACATACTTTCTGTCAAAAAATTTAGCTTTTGCATGCAAAACTTGTCTGAAATATGTCATTCGTTCTTTTTAATAATTTTGTCTGTTCTAGAGAGTTGCAAAAAGTTCGGACAGACAGAGTTAATTAAAAAGATCAGCTGTCTGGACATCAACGGAAATTAAAACTGAAATAAACATAACGTCGAAAGTTCATAAAGCAGAGTTTCGCTCAAAATCTATAATTACGCTGGGCAATTGCATCCGAAGCGTCGAATAGTAAACCTTGAAATAAGAAAACTATTGCTCAGAAAAACTTATGTTTTTTGCGATTATTTTCCAAATTTTGAATGATTTGATCAACTTCACTTCTGTTTTTTGGGGCGTCCTAATCAGTTTTTTTTTAAACTCTAGATTTCGTTTTTTAACTAAATTTGCTTACTGTTTCATAATAAAATCTGAAAGTTCATCGCAGTATTTAAATATTAGGCACGCATAATCATCGGATAATCGACGATCTCGCGTTTTGATCTTGATATGACAAAAAAACTCAAGGTCGTTCATCTTCAGATTTTGCATGCAAAAAAAGCGTCGAAAAGCACTGATTGCTCATTTTAATTAGTTCTGTATGTCCGAACTTTTTGCTACTAATTATCCCAATTTTTGCAATTCTCTACAATTCTCTGAAGCTTCAAGTTTGCTCTTTTGTCGGCATTTCATGCGTTGTTTTCGCTAGAAAATTGCAGGCAGATAGTCCTAGGGATTATAGCAGACCGGTTTTTTAGCAGACCAATCTTTTAGCAGACTCAGAACAATTGTAAAAGTGTGATAGCTAACTTCAAACGCGGCATTGGCGATTAGCGAACGCTTGCTCCGCTTCAATTCAACACGAGTGTTTTTGTGCGCGTAGATCTTTGTTATGGCGCTAATTTGGACTGTTTTGTTTTTGAAGTTGCTAGTTTTGTTGACAAATTGCGAGAAATCGAGAAATCGTGAGCGTCTTTTTGAGTCTGTCAATCAATCATCCATCATGTTTCTACGTTGGTCTGCTAAAAGACTCATTTTTCACTTTTTATGCTAAAAGATTGGTCTGCTAGACGATCGGTCCTCCAGGCAGATCTAGAGTTGCAAAAAATTCGGACTGAGAGAAATAACAAAAAAGAGCAATCGTTCCATTTTGAAAAACTTTTGCATGCTACTTAGATTTTTGCGACAGCCTTGAGAGACAAATTGGGTCTGATGATTTGGATTTTGCGTGCAAAAGTTTTCCAAAATAGGTCAATTGCTCTTTTTAACTAATTTTGTCTGTCCGATTTTTTTGCTACTATCCATAGCTGCTCTGAATAAAAATTGTTTTGAATTTATGGTCTTGAAGTTATTCAAAAAATTGGCGTCTATATGAAAGCGCAATCTTTTTGCATTGCTCTTTTGACAGTTCAAACGAATTTTTGAAAACTTTCAAGGTCTCAAGGTCAGAATAATTTCAAAACTTAGAAACTCATTTATGGAATATTGGATCTCAATGGGTATGCATGGGTTGCATGAGTGGCCTAAGTTTTTGAGCCTCGCCAATATTTCGCTAATGGTACTACCCTTTCATATTTGATGTCAAATATTATTCTACAAACCAAATGCACCAACCATTGATAAGCAGTGATTATAGAATGTAAACACACCTTATCTTGTCTTCACATAAGATGTCAAATTACTCAGCCTTTAAGACTGTTTGGAGTTGAAATTAAATTGTAGTTTTGCAGTTCAGATTTGAGGCCCGCTGTCCTAATTGTGTTCATTTCTAATTATACATTATTAGTCTTTGGTTCTTGCAAAATATTACATTATTAGTCTTTGGTTCTTGCAAAATATAATTATGGTGAGAATATTCTGAGTAAAAATTTTTCGAAATTAATTTTTTTGGCCGTTTGCGGAAATAATAGTTTTCTGCAAGTGGGCAGCCACTAAGTCAAAAAGTATAGTCAAAGTTAAGTTAAATGGTGAAACTAAATTTTTACCGGCTGCTCATCGAAAAAGTACTCTTACAATTTATTTTGTGCTTCAACCTAAACATACAGCTTAAGTGTGAACCTGATTGTTTTCTTGAGGCAATAATGCACCTACTTCAAATTGGGTCCATGGAACATCATGATCCCTTCTCAACATAATACTTTTCCTATGAATAAACTTCCCTCTGTCTTTCAGTCGCCTTCTGTGGTGATCAGAGGAGGAAAGGTGGTCAATCATGACTTCACGGAGAAGGCGGATGTGTTGATTGAGGGAGGTAAGATCAAAGAGGTGGGGCATGATCTACCAGTACCCAAAGGAGCAACAGTGCTAGATGCCACTCACAAACTAGTCATTCCGGGTAAAAAATTTTCTATTTAAAAAGTCTGCAGTCCCATTGTTAAGTTTAATATCAATGAAACATATTTTTCAACTAGTGCTGATTTGAATCATCCGGACAAAACAAATAAAAATTGAATTAAAAGATTCTGAATTGAATTTAAAAAAATATTGAAGACAAAAGATATTAGAGTTTTAGCAGAAAAGAAATGATGCGAATTTATTTTGCAACATTTGGGCATCATGAGACCGGAGGGCCATGCCTTCAGTAGACCAGAGATTGCAAGCACCTACACGAACAAGCTAGCCGCCTAACTATCCCAAATAAAAGTTAAATTTGAGCAATTTTTATAAAATCATGATGAAAATTTTGGGCAAAATTATTTAAAATTGTGAATGCGTTTCTATGCCTAATAACAGATATATATATTTCAATTTTATCCATGTAAAACTTTCAGATAGTGGTTTTGTTGTAGGCATTTTGAACAAAAAATTTTGAAAACAACAATTTTTTTCAAAAAACCTAATTGAACGCAATTAAAGGTGGATTTTTATTTTGGAGATCAACATAACGTTTTTCTTCTAGAGAAAACCCAATTTGATATAAACGCAATTTAAATTTCATTGAAACTTTTATTCAGTTTGTCCGGATAATTTATATCAGCACTGTTCAACTTGGTTGTCGCTTCATTGATCTTCGCCACGCTCTTTGAAATTCAGGCAAATTTGAAAACAATTTATTAAAATGAACATTGAAAGACGAACATGCAAGCTCTACAACTGGTATCATTCGGGGTGCAATATCAAGTCTAGTAAACGCTGTTTTGTTTCTTGAGCTTGCGCACAGCCTGATGAATCGAGTAACCCAATAGTGCTGAGCAAAATATATAAGAAATGACCGCCTTAAAAAATCTCTAAGCCCCGGGCTGAGGTGATCGACTCATGATTCGACCGAAACGGTCGAACGATGTCCGTTTTCGACTTTTTGTCTTTCGTGCAAAAGAATGATTTTAATGTGATTTAGGAGGTATCGATACCCATACCCACATGCAATTGCCCTTCATGGGCCAGGTGGCCATAGACGACTTCTACTCCGGCACCCGAGCAGCAGTGGCTGGAGGCACCACCATGATCATAGACTTCGTCATCCCCCAGAAAGGGGAGGGGCTACTGGGGGCTTACGACAAGTGGAGAGGGTGGGCTGACCCGAAGGTGTGTGTGGACTTTTCTTTCCATGTTGCAGTCACGTGGTGGTCGGACGAGGTGAAAAGAGACATGGAGACACTGGTTAAGGAGAGAGGTTACTAGTATTTATATCCTCGATTTAAGATTTGATTAAAATTTGAGCATAAAAAGGCTAAAAAAAATTCGTCAGCAGAAAAAGGCTATTCTTCAACTAAAAACTTCACTGAAATAATTTAATGGAATGATAAAGTTGACTTCCAAGCAGGAAATTCAAAAAATCTGAGCTCGTTTGTTGAAGGGGTCAAATTTTTAGATTCAACTATTTGGAACTCAATACTTTCTTTCATAAATTTTTTTCTGTAAAATTCGATTTTCATTATTTTCATAAATCGATTAACTTAAATCAAATCCAGTTACTTCCCGACCATTTTCAAGATTATTTTGTGAAATAAGATGCATTCGTACTATTAAATATCAACTCGTACAAATGCATCCTACCTTACCAGTGGTGCCCGAGTCCGAAGGTTCCTTTAACTCAACTCAATAGGCGAGAATGTTCAAGGCGTAATAATATATGAATATGATTGGCTTCTAGGTGTGAACTCGTTCAAGATCTTCATGGCGTACAAGGGTGTGTTCCAACTGGACGACTCTCAGATGATAGAAGTGTTCAAAACATGCAGGGAGCTGGGTGCCCTGGCCATGGTCCATGCGGAGAATGGGGACATGGTGGCGGAGCTGCAGCAGAAGATGAAGACACTGGGCATCATGGGACCCGAAGGCCATGCACTCAGTAGACCAGAGATTGTAAGCGCCTACAATTCTAACTAAACAAGGTGGAATAAAACTTGCCTCTCCAAACGGGCTTGTCTTTGAGTGGCACTGTCAGGAAAAGATTGTGAGGGAATTTTGCGTCTCTGTTTTTTTTTAATATTGCAGCTGTTTTAACTAAAATTGCAACTAAAACATAACACTAAATTATTTCCCCTGGACGATGATCAGTTTTTTTTTAATATTATTTTTTAAAAAATACCGTCGTTTTTACTGTTCGCTTTTCTTCAGGTGGAGGCGGAGGCGGTGAACAGGGCAATCATGTTGAGCAACCAGTCCCACTGTCCCCTCTATGTAGTGCATGTCATGAGCAAAAGTGCCGCAGACTCCATCACACTCAACAGACAGAAGGGTAAGAAAAGAAGAGACTGGCGTGAATGGTTTCATTTTTTCTGAAGATGTAGGCTTAGTTTGTTTTTAAAAGCGTCTACAGAAAATAATTTACTGGAGAAAATTTTGTGAGTTTGAGCCATATTTTGCGAAAGTTTGCACTTTTTTCTAATAGCTGGCAAAGTCTCCGTTTTTTTTCTGGTGAGGTAGGTTTAGTAATTCAAAAATCCAAAGCATAAAGTGACTAATTAGGGAATACTTTATGAATTTGAGCCGCAGGCTTTGACAAACTTTGACCATTTTCGGAAAGTTTTCCAATCGCATTGCAGAGATAGCGATTAACTCAAGCAAAAATGGTTCAATTAACGACTTGATTCAAATACATTTTTGGGAAATGTTAACCCGAACAAAGTCACGGATAATTTTGAACACTTGGTTATTCATTGAAGCTGCATCCTCAACTCAAACAAAGCGTTTGAAAAATCTATGATTTAGTTATGGGGGTTCGAAGCTGCAAGAGGACGTTGATTAAATGAGACAGTGTGTTGGAACGAAAAGACTTCCATTTCAGGCCAAGTGGTGTTTGGTGAGCCGATTGCGGCCAGTCTGGGCACGGATGGCACCAACTACTTCCACAAGTGTTGGGCACATGCAGCAGGTCACGTGCTCAGCCCCCCTTTGAGACCAGACCCCACCACACCCATGTACCTCATGCAGCAGCTGGCCAAGTGAGTGGGGCTAAATACTTCAAGTATAATTTAAAAAAAAATAGTTTTTGTAGTCAAATTTTGCAGAAAGTTGATTTCGAAATCAAATTCAACCATAAGCTCAAATTTCTCATTTTTATCCAATCTTTTTAAACAACTTGCAGCTAAGTTTTCGACTAAAGTTAACAACCGTTCAAAACAAGAAAAGAATTGTTTTTTTTTAGCGGCAACTTAGACTGTGTAGGCACTGACAACTGCACATTTAACACCGCCCAGAAAGCAGTAGGGAAAGACGACTTCACCAAGATCCCCAACGGCGTCAACGGAGTCGAGGACCGAATGTCAATCGTGTGGACCAAAGGAGTCTGTGCCGGACTCATAGACGAGTGTAAATTTGTGGAAGTCACTTCGTCCAAGGCAGCTAAGATTTTCAACCTGTACCCGAAGAAGGGGCGGGTGGCAGTAGGGTCTGATGCGGATTTGGTGGTGTGGGATACATCGGCTAGCAGAATGATTTCAAAGGACACACATCACCAGGTTGCTCAATCTGGCTTTCATAGAAAAAATTTTGGACAGGATTATCATCTGCGATGCAAAGCATTTTTTTTCAAAGTTTAGATTTCTTCCGGTGAATCGTCTCCTGTTAGCACGCTTTCACTCTCTTAGCGGCCGCGGAGTTTATCCCCTTTATACCGTGTAAAAACGGGGGACACTAATACACGATATTATCCACAATCCCGAAAGGATTGTGTTGGTGGTAAGACTAAATCGGCCGATCAAAGGATTAGGCAACTTCTCCCTTTGATTTATGCTCTTTTCGGCTCTCATCTTGCGTTTCTAGCTAGCTCAGCAAATTGTGTGCACAATAGCTGAAAACAATTTGCAATGCCCTTAGCCAGCTAACTACTATTTAATAACTTCTATAACGAAGCCCGTATTTCGTGTCGTTCAATCGCTTCGTTAACTCACTCTTTAGTTTTCGGTTGACTCGATTCAAAGCTAGCCTACTCCAGCAGTGCAATTTGATAACCAAACTAATTCAACCCGGTTCGAAACTCGGGTTCAAGTGCAACTCGCTCACACAACTAATTCAACCCGGTACTAAACTCGGGTTCCAATCAGCTAGACTAATTTCTAACAATTGGGAGACACAACTAGCCTCGCTTCAAGCAATAGCTTCCTCCACGGACCAACTATTGCTTCTCGGCTTACTCAATCGTTCTCTCTCTCTCTCTCTCTCTCTCTCTCTCTCTCTCTACTCAATCGTTCTCTCTCTTACTCAATCGTTCTCTCTCTAGCTGAACCGATTATTCGGCTCACTAGCAATAATCGTTCAGACTCTTAAAGGATCTCCGGTAGCCTCCAATTACTTATCTTTCTTTACACTTAAGTTTGGTTAAGTCACGCTCTTCCCTATCAATCCTGGCTTCAACTTAAAGCAACCGTCTGCACATGTTTTAAGACTATTTATCTCCCCCTGTCAACTCTGTCAACATGTGCCAAACTCGGCTTCTTTTATCAATCTTTTCACGCTTATTAGATACCCAGGTAGTTGTCACATTTTGACCAAGAAAACAAATGTCATACGATTCTAATCAACAAGTTCTTGCCCTCCATGACTTCAGCTTTTCAGTTCAACTCAACCTCCAAACCATGCTGTGTTTACTCAGTGTCACTCCCAATGTCTTCATTTTAATTATTCCGTTAACGTTCCGACCTCCAAAAGGTAGGGGGAGAACCTTTTCATGGGTAGGTAGTTCATTTCAGGCATCTAAAGTAACTATCTGTACTCTATTCAAATCCCGACCTTCTAGCTTTCAGGGGAACGTAGTATGTCTATTAGGGGCCAAATTGAACCAAAAAGTCACCTCCCGGAATTCAAATAAAATCCCCATCCGTTCATACTATTTAGGAGACTTATTTCTCATGCTGCGTTCCTAATACTATCAATTTCTTCTGGGACTACTTTTTTTTTTTAAATCTAATTGAAATGCTATTAATAGATCATTTGCCACCTTAAACTGAACTCAATATTTATCAAGTCCACTTTGAATTAGCTCTACTACTCCAAAGTTGCAATGGAAAAGTTATATTGCTATCATCTTGTGCTCTAGTTCTCGAATTTTATGTTCCCTCCCAATTTTTAGCAAGGTGACACATTCGCTTTTTCAGGGGCTGGGCTGGTGAACACGCCTTGTTCCAGTGTTTTTCCTGGGGTTTTCTATGCATTTTTGGGGTCAAAACGCTCAAAGATCAACTTAAGATCACATAGGGGTCAAACTTCCATATTTGGGTTTAGAAACTTATGAAGGTCCTAACTAGCAAGTTCCATCCATATCCCATTAATACTTTCCAAGTTATACCATTTCTAGGGTCCATTGCCACTTTTCCTGGAAAAAGGCTACTAACACCGGAAGGAGTTGCCGGAGGGGTGTCACTCACAAGGTCTTTCTTAGGGGTTCGTATCTTATGTCGATTGCCACAATGAAATCATTATACCACCGTACATTATTCTGGGTAAATTTCCTATTTCCGGTCTAATGGGGTTTTTCAAAAGCTAATAGCCTCCGATCCACCCGTTGGAAAAAGTTGAAATGATAACACGATATGTATCTTACCACTACCTATCATTCCGCAAAATTTTAGCTCCTTGCATTCATTGGAGGCCGAGAAACGACCTTCGGAACTTAGGGGTGGGTTTGTATACTTAAGACATAAAACCAGAAGTGGGGTCCTAGGGGTCTGGGGTTCCAAATTTAAGTTTCCCTCAACAAGGCCTAGAATATAATTAAATTTGAGCCCAATACCTCCGCTAGTTTCAGAGTTATGATAGGGCCATTTACACTTCCAGGGAGCGTTATCACTTGCCCCCCCCCCCCCCAACAGTCTGAGGGTTCCCGTCTTTCGTATGCCCGGGTCAAATCATCTCTGGTATCGCTCCTCTGGGGGGGGGGGGGGGGCGGCGTAGGAGGGACAATATATTCTGGCGTAGGAGGGACAATTTTATTTTCTGGCGTAGGAGGGACAATATATTCGAAGATTGATTTTTGAATTATTTCGAGCTTATTGCTAACCGATCGTACACACAGGTCACTATAGCATGTAATTCGGTAGAATCGCCAATTCTACATAAAAGATTTCATTACTGATTGAAATGGGTTTAGAAGGTTTCAAAGTTTTTAGATTGCTTTTATTCGCTTTTGAGCATACCTCAACTTTTTCTGGCAACTCAAAAAAAAAACATTTTTAACGGTTCCCCCTAAAAAAAACAAACCGTGATTTTTTTTTGTTGCCATGAAATGGCTGAAACGTTTTCAATTGAACTTGTCATTTACAGCGTTTTGGGCTTGTGCTAAATTGTAGTCGGGTTGTTTTATAGAAAGCACCTGACCTGTGTTCTATTATTCAGCTTTTAAAATATTCAAAAAATGCGAAACTCAAATGAGAAAACGTAACGAAGACATAAATTGATACCAGTTTTGCACAGGCTGTTAACTTCAATATCTTCGAGGGTCAGACAGTTTTTGGAAAACCAGTACACGTGATCAGCGGAGGTCACGTGGTACTGCAGGATGGAGAGCTGAAGGTCAGCAGAGGTCACGGCAACTACATTCCAAGACAGGCACATTGCAGTCACGTGTACAATATACTCAGACACAGGGAAAAGGTGAGTCAATCGGGGAAAACTTTACCAAATTGGCTGCATATTGTGACAATCGCTCTTGAAAAACAAATCAACTCGGGGTTTCTGATTCGGTCAAAAATTGATATAATCACGATTGAAGACGTTATAATTGACCGAAGTACTACTTCTTTACACAAACATGAAAAATCAATGCAGAAATCTGAAAGCTGTAAATTCCTCAATTGCAGTGGCATGTGCAGATTTTTAACCAGGGGCGGATCTAGGATTTTCTCGAGGGGGGGGGGGGGGTGAGGTTTTTCTAAAAATTTTCGAAAATATGGTCGACCATTTTTTTGAAAAACAGGCCAAAAAAGGCGTTTTTAGGCATTTTTTTGGAAAATTTCTATCAAAAAATTACGTTTTTTTTGCGCGCTCCCCCTTCAAAATTAGTATATACTGGCGACGAAGGCGCCTTCAGAAAACTTTTAGGGTCCGTCACCAGAAATGGATATCACAAAATAGTATAAACGGGGGTCGGTCGGCTGGGGGTCGTATAACTGAAGGGGGCGTTAAAAGTTCTGACGAGCCATTTTCTTGATGCCGAAAAAGCTCGGAAACTGTTTGAAATTAGCATGAAATTTTTAGCAGTCGAAGATTTGTATCTTTTTTTTAGACTGAACAACCAGTACCCGTCACTAGAGGTCCCTACACTGGGCCTGTTGCTGAACCCGCCAAATAGGTGAACACTCAAGAACAGAGTTACTAAAAACTGATTATCAAATAGCCAAGCCTAAGTTATGTAATTTAGTATGTTTATTTTATTCGTCTGCAAAATATGCATAGTCCCAAATCTGTTTTGAGTCGATGAGACCTTTGATGCAACCAAGGTGAAAATAAATTGCCTTTTTCTCAGGTATAGATTTTACAAACTGAGACAAATTATAAATATTCAACACTCCATCCAGTCTTCCGTGTAAAGTACGCTGAAAAACGAAAACACTGAGACAAATTAGAAAATTTCAACACTCCATCCAGTCTTCCATGTAAAATACACTAAAAAACGAAAAAGTGCAGACCCATTTTTTTTCCTCACAGCACTTTTCTAGACCTTTTTTGAAATCAGAATTATTCTTAACCAATCAGTATCAAGGTATCACACTCGATTCTATGTGAACTATTCTTGATTCGATGTGAACTGGTATCTAATTAGGAAATGATAGTCAAATTAAGAGTAAATAAAACGCAATTCACAACAATCTACAATGCAGGAAAAACCTATTTCTGACGTATATGCTCAGTATCGAATCATACAAACTTCTTTCTTCCTTCACCCCACGGGAAACAGGAGTCTGAGACAAAATAACGAGCTTAAAAATCACATAAACATGGAGATGTTATGGTCAAAACTATACAGGCTGCATGCAATTCACTACAGATATAAACATGTCGGTAATGTGAAATTGGGGTTGTGTATATGAAAAATAAAACAGTAAAATGCAACTAAATAACTAATCTAGACTAATGATACGAGATTGGAAATTTTTCAACGGGTGATGTATCAAATGTAACATTAATAAAAAACAAAATGAAATCGATTTAAGCACCAATGGGGAAATATGGTTGCTTTTTAGTTTTGAGTTGAATGAGTTAAAACAGGTTATGTTAACTTTCTTATCGAATAAGTCGGCCTCCGTTCTTGTTTCGGTATCTAGGAAGGATGAGATGTTGCTTTCTTGGTCTTGATCGTATATCTGTGTTTCAGTCAGTTGAAAAGGACCCCTCCATTACAAATTGAGATTCCATCGAGGAGTTCGGCATTGTGGAGCAGTCAATTGTTTCGTCCATCAGTGTAGGCTGAGATCCAAAGTCGCTCAATGGTGTCAAAATTGCGGAAGGGGGAATCAATTTTAAATACACCCTGCCCAATTTTCCGTGGTGTCTTGGATGGCGATACCATTGTTATTAGTAGTTGTTCTGTCCCTTTGTCCAGGTTGAAGATAACCACTGGAGATACCCCGTCAACAAAACTCCTTTCTCCATAAAGTTTGGGAGGACCCGCGTTTCGTCTGGGGTGAGCCGAGCTGCACTATCAGATGGATGACGTGTTCTCCTAGAGTTTCTCTGGCGAGCTATCTATTGAGATGAGGTTTTCGCTGCTTTCTTTTGGGTGGGCCTGTGATTGTTACGTCGTCGTTAATGGTGAGCCATGAAGGACCTGAAAAACCTCCAAAAACGACAGACTTTTAAGCTGGGTTTGCACCCAAATCAAAACCAAGTAGTCGTCAAATACGTTATCCCAATGGTATAAATACAAGATTGAGGCATGTTCAGAATTAAATGAAAAAAAAGTTTTCAAAGAACAATTCTCAGCCTTTCGTTTTTTGGGCGATACGAAGTTTGCGTTTTTTATCGAAGATGAAAGTTTGAGATACATATCGAGTTTCTTCAGTGAGAATTTTTTCATACTCTTTCCTGTTAGGTTATCATGATTACATAGGGTATTCATTTCGCCGATGAAATTTTTTGAAGCCGTTGGGTTATGTTGTCTGAAGGCGAGATCGGATTTTCTGAGGATACGTCCGTTTTCGAGAGTTATCGGGCGTCTAGAATCCGCTAGAACCCTCCTTTTTAACGTTTAAAAAAAATTTGACCCTCTTTCCTACGGACAGGTATCCTAAACCAGTTACTTCGTTTGGTGAAGGAGTTCGACAGCGAGTCTCTGGGTCAACTGGTCTTGCCCTCTCCGTTGGGTCGCTCTCCTGTCCTTTTTAGTATGGTTTTGTCTCAACTTATCAGTCTTCAACTTGTCATTCACTCCCCAGTCTTGTGCTCACGACTTGACAAGACTATTTTCTGTTTATATAATTCAATTGCGCGTGAAACGAGGTTTTTTCAGTAAGTGTTGGAAGATCTTTTGAAAAAAAACTTAAAAGGTGTGCACTTGATTGATGGTTTTTTGGATGAACGAATGTTTCAAAAGGTTTTATCGATTCTTGAGGTTAGTGTTGATTTAGGTTCATTGAACAACATTGCTAATAATTTTGCTTTTACTGTGTAAATTAAGTGTTCTACTACTGCATTGGATCTATGATCCCCCAATATACATGAAATTAGATTACCATTGTTCTTCTTGCATAAATATCGATATTATTGAAATAAAACACGAACTGAGGTGTGATTTAACAATTTCGCCAGCGAAATTTTTGACTGAGGCTCGATGCGTACTAGCAGGTGTATGGATGAGCCCCAAGTTTTGTCCAACGGGCCAGCTAAAACCAAGTAGATTTTTATTTGGGCCCCTCGAGCTTGGGTTGGACGCTCTTGGAATAACTTTCAGTTTCCTACCGGCTTCTATGCACTGAGAGTCCTTTCTGCCGTAATGGTAGGTTTCCATGTTGAGATGGGGGCACATCTCCGCGGAAGCTTTCATGCCGGATTGTTCAGGATGAGTTTCGGGACAGAGCATCTTGAGCGGAGATTTCAGTGCTGCTAGCGCTACAGCTACAACGGTCTTTAGTGTGCATATCCCGTGTGAAGGCTTGCAAGTATGCTCACACTTTTTCCAATGGTTTTCCATCTTCGACCACGTTCTTAATTGCCCTTCGGATTTTTTCGTCGTTTGATATAAGCTTAATAAATTTGTTCGAGTTATGGTCGCTAAATGCGATTGAGAGGGTGGTACCATGAGCTCCCTTTTGTATTTGATTAACAACTTCAAATGGCTTAGTGACATTTTATGGTCCACGATATTCAAAATTATTCCCTCGTTTTCGACTGAGATTGTTATTTCCTCTTGAATTTTCAAATTAACTCAAGACAATTAACTCGATTTTATCTGCTTGGCATATGTTTGATAATGTAATCAATGAAATACAAGACTCTGAGCGCGAGTAACCGGAATAGCGGATTAGAATAATAGCAAAGAACGACCGTTGGGTGTGTAAAAGTATTTTCACACTTTCTACTCGACGGAAGTATGTTCTCAGGGTAAGATATACTATTACACTATTTACGTGCAATGGATTGCTTATGTACTACACTTTTTATTACAGTTCTTGTGTTTACAGCATGTTTTGACAAATAATTTTTCGGCAATTTTGTTGAAATTTGCATTTGCCGTCAAAAATCTTGTGTAGTAATGAAAAGTTTGAAAGAAGTTTGAATGTTAGTCTGTAAATCCCTTTTAATTTCATGGGATGTGTCTCGTTTTGAAATTAAACTGTGTCAGTTGTGTAACTCAACCTGTCATTTTACTGTGCATTGACGCGTTTTCATTATTTGCATTTAGTGCGGACAGGAGTGCTTTCTGATCGGTTATTAAATTGAATTCCGACCCTTACGATTAGTTTTTAAATTTTTCAGTTGCCCAAACTACCTCCAGAAGTTCGAGTTCGTTTTTTGAGTATATCTCCAAGTCCGCAAAAACCGGTGAAAAACAATGTTTGCTTTAAAAACAAAAATTGCAATGTTTGCTTGATTTTTTTGCATATTTTTAGATGACAGTAAGAATTTTTTAGGTCAAGATTGCATAAAAACTACTCGTTTGATTTTTTTATTAGTGAGTTGTAGCGCAATATTGTCGATTAGTTTATGAATGTTGGGACTTGATATTCAATTATGAAAGTTTGATTTTTAGCAATTTCGAATCAAATGCCAATTTTATTGCGCCGTCGTTTTTTCTTGTGATCACTGTTGAGCTCATGAAACAGTTTTTGCCAAATTTATCTAGTTTTAGTTTTATATTCTCCCTTACGAACCGTTTCATTTTGATGTTCACACTCTCTAGTGAATGAAGCTGGTCGAGTTCACTTGAAAAATTACATTTAAAATTGCTTCCTCTCACTAAGTCCAAAAATTGAGTATTTTTTTCGTGTCTCTAGGCCATTATCGTCGCAGATGGTTCTGAGGTGGAGTACTAAAAAAATTGTCGATTTCACTGATTCCCTCTTCTGTCCAATCGCCTATCACCAACAATTTTGCTTTTGACTCAACTGTGGTTCCGACGGGGAATATTAGCAATTTTGGAAGTGTAAGTTTTTGTTTAAGAAAATTACAGCCAGTTTTTTCACCTTTGATTTACGTGAAGTTCGCAAATGGCCTTATATCTACAAACATAACAGGTTATTTCTTTCGCCGGAGAAACGTTATGATGACCCTTGGTAATCGCATTACCATATTTCATAAATGAGCTGGTTATTTCTATACTCAGTCTTTTTTCTCTTTTTACAGGGTTGAAGTTTTGTACACTTTGCCATTGTGGTTGGCTCTTGTCATGTTTGTAAGTTTAGGGTGGTTAAAATACCCTTTTTTATCAATAACCGCCTAACTCAATACTTCCAAAGGAGTTAACATTTCCCATAAAGTGTCCAATGGAGGTCGCAATTTCTCATGTTGAATGTAAAAACGCCTCGTTTCCAACAATTTTCTCCCTGAACTCTAATATCGCACGATATTGCTAAATCTGATAAGGCTTTAAGACTTTCGCTCCTTTTTCTTCCTGCTCATCAATTTAGGCCGTTCAAATTTGATTTTTTCTAATAATAGAAAGCGGTTTTGAGCAGTTAGAAGACATCTCCAAGCGTGACGAACAAAATGTTCACCCGAAGGTGTTTCTTTGAGATATCTTTTTTCCATCAAATTCTAAAGCCAGGTACAAATTTGAACTGACTATTTTGTCTGATTCTTCTTTTCTCATGTCACCGAAATTTCGTTTTTCCTCCGCAATTCTACTTTCCTCTGCGATTTCGTATACTTGCGTAACGTCTTTATTTCTGGCCTCCCTAGCTTCCCTCTCGTGATCATTTTCTGCATCTTCGGAACCTTCGAGGTTGGTATTGTTGTCTCCAACGC